AGTCACTTTTTGTGAGATGGGCGGTATCTAAATTTGAAATATAAATAAATAAACAAACAAATAAATAAATAAATATCATCATCAAATTAATTGCAATCAGCAAATAAGACTAGTCCCCGTGTACTTAATATTCTTTTTCCTTTGCAGAATAATTTGACTACTTTAGAAGGGAATAATTCCAAGGTCAGATATGGCCCTTTTGGACTTAAACTGGGGTCCTGTAATCCACAATCAGTGAAGGGTGTATAAAATAGTTTTCAGTAAACGAGTAATGGAAAATCTCACCTCTTCCGGTTCAATGAGTTTGAACTCCATCCCTCGGCCTGTCCAGGCAATAAAATGGGAGTTGTTTGGATCATCTAGCAAAGCCACCAGAAATTGCCAAAGCTGTAGAGACCCCCGCCGTTGATAAGGGGGGCCCTCACGGTATCCACTTCCTTCTTGCTTAATGTCCCCTATCAAGTGCAACATATATAATGAAAGGGAGGAAAAAAATGATTTAAAAAACTGCACTTCCCATCATTTAATTCTGGGGAAAATTCATGGAGGGCCCATGTCATGTCTTAAAAATCAAACTTCTATGTTTTGCTTCCCCTACAGGAAAAAGACAAAGGGATTCTATCGATCAGCCTTCTCCAGCCTCATGCTCTCCAGGGATACTGAGATGACAACTCTCAGAATTCTTAGCAAGGATGGCTGGAAATCTAGGAATTGCAATCCCAGGTCTTTGGGAATGCTGCTATATTTCAAAATATTTCTCCTTTATTATCACACCATCTAAGAGGAAACTTAGGTGGGATTGCAAATAGGTATGTTGATAAAGATGCAGAGGCAGGGAGAATCAAGAGGGAAATACTATATCAGCAAGCCTGTGGGAACCCCAATGTTTTCAAAGATGCAAAATCAATTGTGGATTATACATTTGATATTTAGAAGTCTAATTCTTCATCCTTCTCAAATAGTGGGAAGAGTGGGATTTCAGCTTGGGTATTCCTATGAGTACCCACTCTCTGGAAGGGAAGAAAATAATCCAAATATCTACCTGTAAAATGTCATAGACCACATATTCCCTGGGACTGGTATGTGGATATTCTGGTTCAAGTTCAGATATTATTATTATTATTATTATTATTATTATTATTATATCAATTTATATTAAAAGCACCAACTTGGTGCTCACCAAATATGTAAAGGATGATGGGAATTGAAGTCCACCACCTCTGGACCATGCAAAACTACAGAGAACTACTATAATTGGAGGAACGATATTTAAGGGAATACTACATTTATGGAAAATGTATTCTTAGTTCAAATATACAACTGGAAGATTGGGTAGCTCGGCTATTAAGGTAACTAAAGCCAAGCGCAATTGTCTCTGACCTTCAAACTTCTCAGGAACCACACAAACATCATCTGCAAATGGTCGCATTTGCTTCTCATAACCATACCCTGCAAAAAATAACAACCACAGGTAGATATCAAGAATCTGATCTGCAACAGGTATTTCTTCTAGATATATGTAAGTCATTGTCACTGAGAAATTAACTACCAAGACTCTTCCCAGGATGGATAGAATTGATCACATGACAGTTGCTGCTCCTTAGGCTTTCAATTAGCTTGGCTTAGCCATGTGACACTTTCTCATCATTGTAAAACTTTCCATTATGAGTGGTGTTCATTCTACCAATCGCTCTCCAGCAATGAAGATATCTGTATGTTCAGTAGTAAGGGTTTTTTTGTTGTTGTTGTGGTTGTTGGAGTGGGTAATGCCTTATAGTTATTATGGCTGAAACCAGACTAGGAGAAATTGTGCATCTTTCCTGAAAGTATGAATCTGCCTTTTATAACTCCTAACACAAGTCCATCTTGATATTGTTCATTCTGACTAGCAACAAGTCTCAATTTTTTACAAAATCCTTTGACTCAAAGACACTAGGAATTGAATCTGCAATCTTCTGCATACAAACAATGTGCTGCTCTAAAATCCCAGTGTTTTAGTCATTCAGACCGGTCCTTCTCAATAATTCCATGGTAAAAGCCAAGGATGAATTGATGCATTAATGCCACAACCACCGAAACAGGACTGAGATCTGTGCTTGTATATGTAAAGGAGACTCATATGCAGAAATGGAGCCAGACCATTCAATCATCTAGACCAGAGATAGGCACACAGACACACTTAGAACTTTGGGAGCATGTTGTGGGTGCTCTCACAAAATGGCTATAATATGGACATAGGCTCTAATGAGACACCCATTTACAAGAAGACAAAGTTCTGAAATTGTTTCCTGTCACTCCTTGAGGTCCCCACAATGCTCTTTACCACCTTAGCTTAGCTTCTTCCTTGCTTTGTGAGCACCCTTTTAATTCAGCTACTGGGCTACAGCTAGCCGCTGTTTTTATTTTCTAAGACCATCTTGGGACCACGTGGCAACATTAGTCCAAATTTATACATATAGATGTTGTTAGAGGTTAACTATTCACTTTGCAGTATGTCAGCTTCTCATGTATTTTGTTTTTAATGGAAAGAATCTTTAAACAACTATTAGATGAGGCAAGGAGTTTCATAGGTAGTACCCATTCCCTACCCCAATCTAAATCAACATTATTTGTGAAAAGCTCTCCAGGATTCTGTTTAATTGGAGAGACCCAGTTATCTGTGATCTCTGTTGCTTAATGACAAAGTTGATATTCTCCATCTCACTGCAAATCTTCCCAAACTGGACAGAACAATGGCATAGTGGGTTGCAATTTTCTTAGATAACACAACTGACAAGACAAGTGCCTTGACCTTAGAAGAGTTGTCATAAACACACATATATGCCACATATGTATGGAATGCTATAAATTTGATCAGTTTTTGCTGTCCATTTTGTAGGATTAATTTCTACTCCAGCAGAATTAAATGCATATTTTAAATAAATATCTGGACATAAATCATTGGCTTAGAGGGCAGAAGAGAACTGTATTCAAATGTACAAAGCATCTGAAGCTTTTGGTTTTTGTGCTCTCAGCAGAAATTTCCTCATTTGGACTATTTCCTGGAAAGATCATATGATGGTTACATGGTTGCATAATTATTTGAGGAAGCACTGCAGAAAAGAAGCGTGATATTCAGAGAGTCATCTTCTAATGAGGAGGACAAGTCTAAGAAGGGTTCCAAAACCAATACATGAGCAGCACCTGGGTCTAGTATAGCAGACAGGGAAAAGGTGACCCCCATCACTGTAATCTTGGTAGATCAGGAAGCCTTCAAACATCCTGTAAGCCTGCAGGAGTGAAAACATCACTAGGTGGACAATCAAGAGACCATGAGGTGCAGCAGCTCACTCTTGCAAACAACCTGTTCAGGAGTAAATGTCTACCTGCAAGTCAGCACTGCTGATGAATATACTTGAATATAATTGATGCAACCCTGTTGTGTGGAGATTTGCAATTTCTTAGATAAAGCTTAAAATTTGAAGGAAGCCTAATACTGAGAATGGTGTTGTCCATATGCTCCTGTAACTGATTGCTTGGGTCCTTGCCTTGCATCCTTGGACTGATTCTTAGACCCAGACACAATTCAAACCCTGATTTAGCTCTTTTTATGAACCCTTCAGTGTGGAACTTTCTTAGACTGTCATTTGACTTGTCTCTACTCTACCTTCTAGCTGCTTGTTGTATGGTAAAGGGAAGGCTTAAGCCTATCAAATCTCTTCTGCCTGCCTTCCATAGACTTTTCTGCAGCAACAATCAAAGCAGCATCTGCTAAAAATCTTACAAAACATCTGCACACAGAGCATTTTTGCTGAGAAAAGTATTGGATTTTTTTCTGGGAAATGATACAAGCTGAAACTTGTCCCCACTAATTTCTGCCCAGCCATGCATCCAAATCTACTCCCAGAACAATCCAGGGCAAATTATTATTATCATTTTAATTATTATTATTATCATTGTTATTATCATTTTAAAGAGACACTTGTATCAAGTATACCAAGAATCCTAAGCTTATTTTTCTCACCTAATGTGCCTTCAGAGCTGGAACAACTTGGGAGTCCTTCCACATTCATATACATTGAATGGCAGCTTGGCACATCTGTAACTCAAACAGAAAAAGTGCAGCATGGAATAAACAGGATTTGCTGGTTTTGTTCCAGATGTACAATTGCTAAAGATGCCAGTGCTATCATTGGATACCATTTTGGGGAGAAAAGTGGGATATGAACTGAATCCAGAATGAATTAATTTGAGGAATACTCCTGCTGGAGAATAAACTCACTTCCACCCTCACTTATTCTGAATGCTTTTATATTGTTAATGACCAATTTTACTAGAATTTTTCTTCAGGGGATTTTTTTTTTTTTTTGGCTCTAGCGTTTCATTGTTTAACATCCGTCTGATTCTAATTCATGAATTGATTATCATTACTGTGGATAGAAGAAAGCCAAACTGGTATGGAAAGGATTTTTTTAAAGAAAAAGTAGAATATAGAAATGATTAAAATAAATTGCAGTGCGTGAAAGAAACTGACACCATGTCTTTCTTATAAGGACTGGAGACCTTATGGTCCTTCAGTTGCTGCTGAGCCACAACTCCCAGAAACTCCACCTAAACTAGCCAGCTATAAGGGATGCTGGGAGTTGTAGTTTATCAACATCTGGAGGGCCTTAGGTGATCCACACCTACAAAAACACCTTTCAGTACCCTAGTCCATGACCCATTGAGCAACAGTTTTATTCCCCACCTAATAGTTTTATCTTCCCACCTACATACACATTACACTCAGCAGAGAAAAATGAAAGCAAGTAAACATTTATTCTGTATGAATGGGTTAAATCCTGAAAATCAAGGCAGGTCTCATGGATAATGTAAGCCTCCCCCCCCCCTACCCGCCACTAATCGCTGACACTCTAAGAAGTTCACAGCAGCAGAAGAAGCAAGAGAGTAAAGCCGCTAATGGCAGTCCCTGGGGAAACGTGGGGCTGTAAAAAGGGCTGAGTGTGTGTGCATTTCTCCTGGATAGCCAAAGGCCTCTCTATTTCAAAAGCCGGTTGGATGCTTCCCTCCCAGGTTTGCAGGTGCCATTTTCTGTACATACCCCTACTTTCTCTGGGCAGTGAGCCAAGCTTTGGCTCCAGTTACCAGCCTGCCTACTGAGTTCAATTGCACCACCAGGAGAGCACGAGCAGTGAAACCCAACACTCCCTCTCTGGAGCCCAGTTCCTGTGCATCCATTTTGTGAATGAAATTCCTTTCCACTCCAGACAGCGGCGGAGAAGGTGAAGATTCAAGGTTATGCAATGTCTTGCCAGCCCTGGGGAACAGAATAGTTTTTTCTCTTTCCCTCCTAACATCTGAAGGTCATGAAATCGGTAAAAATCCCTTTTCTGTAGGCACGCGTGGTAGTAAAAGAAAAGAAAAAGGAGCGTACTTGAAGTTTAATGGATATAGAAAAAAAGGTAACTTAAAACATTTGCATATACTCAAGGATCTCTCATAAGCTACAGAAGGGTTGGCTCTTTTCCCCCCAGGGCAGGTCACAGCAAACCAGTTAAATGGATTGGGCAACTGTCATTGTAGCAAAGTAAGGGTGAAGAGGCCCATGAATCAAGCTGAGCCCCACGCAGCTTTCTTGGCAGCCTTATGGAAGAGAGTTCCCTTTGCCATCTTCCAGGATTTTTTTTACTTCCCAGTTAAGCCTACAGACCTGGTGGACCCCATCCAAGTCTGACCAAATTCAACCCCGCTCAGCTTTCAAGATCTGCCAATGGAACTAAGGCCAGGCCAAACCTAGTGCTCTGCCCTCTATACCAATGACAACAGAAACAAGTAAAAAGCCCTCTGCAGGATTTTTGTTGTTTTCTTCATTTATAAAACTCTTATAACAAAATCAGATGAGTGTGTATGAAAGGGAATCTGAATATAACGCATATGGGAAATACACAACACAATAGCAATACTGTATTGAAGAAAAGGGTACCTTCCAGATACACTGAGTTATGAGTGCCATCATCTCCTACCAGAATATGAGGGTGCTGAGAGTCGTAGACCACCACCTCTGGAAGGCACAAGGTTAGGGACGGCTGGTCAAAACTCACAGCCCCAGGGTTCCTGGCTGGAGGTATCGCTGGGAAATATAGTTACATACAGACATAAATATTGTTCTGAGTACTGTACTCAGTTTTGATATGTCCATAAACTGGCATCTTTCAACAGCAGCCAGGATCCAAGATTTTGGCAGGGCCAGTACTGATGCCTCCCCACTATTTTTTCCTTTCTTTTCCTCTTTTGGCATAGCATTATAAGTAGTGCCAAGTGGCCAGATCTGGTGACTCAAAATACTTAGATTGTTAACCAGCATAGCTGGACTCAGCAAAATTCAGGCTGTTGCTGCAGCAGGAAAAAGATAAACCTGGTCCAAAAAACTAGAGTTAGTCCTAAACATACACACACACTTATATACACTACACTCTGACTTTCTTGCACTATACCTGTGTCAAAAGCATAGTCCATCTGCTCTTGTTTTATCACCACGCCAGTTGCGTACCGGGAACTGCCCATGTCCCCCAGCGTGTTCACCTGCTCATACATGGGGTCGTGGAACTCCTGTTTGAAGCCCTGAGGGGGATATGGCAGGCATGGGGCCGACCATGGACGCTGATAAATGGAAGGGGTGTCTGATACCAAGGCTTGAGAAGCAGAGAAGGATTGGCCCGTCTCAGCGTGCAGTTGGTACAACGAACTAGAAGGAATGCAGAAGAGGCCTTACAATTGCACGGGCAACCAAATAAAGAACAGAAATTTAACACCCCGATCATCCTTTATATGAAGGGGATAGGGACCCACCATTCCTCTGAAAAGGGTCCTAGATCAGCAAATGGAATACCATCTGTGCTCAGCAAAGTTTATCAAAGCAAGGGTAAGCCACATAGTACTCTTCAGGTGTTCGAGCCAAACAATTCCCATCATCCCCTTTCAATATGCCACTGGAGATGATGGGAACATGTTGAACCATTAACCACAGTAGCTTATAGGATGGCACCATTTAAAAGTGCTGGAGGGGGCAAAAGTGAAGGAGAGAACTTGGTACAATCCACTGGACATGTTTAACTGGGTAAAGAGAGACAGGATGTCATGTGAACTGCTAAATTCAATTGGGGTTGTTAGCTTCCTAGTTCTGTTTGGGCTAAACTAACTTCCCCCCATCAGCTGTGTCATCTGAATAGTGTTAACTCTTTTGTCTGGTAGCCAGCATGGGAGAAAATTCGTAGAGGGGCCCTGTCAAAATAGGGCAGCTCCAGGAACTCTATCTCTCTACTTTGTTTCACCACCATCACCCATGACACTTGGGGCAAGGGTGGAACCAGGACAGGAAGAGTGGAAGATGTTTCCATCTGTGGTAGCACCAACTCCCCACTTGGGTCACTGTGGATTTTTTAAAGTTGCAAAAAATGGCAAAGAGCGATGGCCTCTCAACCACTTCTATAGTAGCTTGGACTCCCATTTTACTGACTCACAGGGATGAGTATTTACAATGTGTGGTAGCTGATTCAACCAGTCCTGTTGTGCCCAGCAATCAAAAAGCAACCATATTTTCACTTAACCCATTATACAAACCCAGGCAGTAGCTAAACATAATGCTTGAGAGGTAATTTTTTGAGAGAGCAACAGAATTCTTATTTTGAATTAACATATTAAGCTGCCTAAAACTTTCAGACAGAGTAGGACATATTAAAAAAATTTATCCACCTAGTACATTGGCTTACCTGTGTTCCATACAGTATGCCTGGCCAGGCGCAGTCTGGGGTGGGCCGTGGTGGCTCACATGGTTTGAATCTTGCCTAGAGAAAAGTGCAAGCATCAGGCGCAACGAGATATATCCCTCTCCCTCCCAGCAGTATTTCCCATTTTCCCCAGCAAAACCCTGATGCATAATAATAGATAGGCTCCAAACAGGTTATTTATTCAGAATTAGACTCACACCTAATTTTTATTATGCAGTCAGACAAATGCACACACACCAACATCCTATATTTTAGACAGGGGTCAGGACTTTCTTTCTGCCAGTCTCCTACCTTCATCTTTCTTCCCTTGCCACACATATTAAATTAGGCTGAGGACTCCGGGTGGTTCTTCAGCCACAGGCTGCCATGCTGGTTCGTTTAAAGCAGAGTTGCACATGTGTGGCTTCTGAAAACTTGGATGTGGGCACAACCACAGGTGAAATAATCATATTAACTCTATAAAATGCAAATTAAACCAAGTTTACCTTTTAATAACTCCTGATCTCACCTATTTTTAGAAGCAGGCCTCTCATCAGAAAACAAATTCAGCTCTTGGGCTGACAAAGTTGAGTGCTCCTGCTTTAAAGGAGGTATGAAACAGAAGAAGGAGCACAGGAAATTGGATGGGACCATATAAAAGTGTTGAGGACTTCAGGAGGGGGCAAAACTGAAGGAGAAAAATCAAGAGAGCTCATAGGTAAGAACATATCAAGGAACAGGGGTAGGAACACAAGTGAGAGGGGCCAAGGAGAGCTTAGAGAGTAAACAAGGGGTGAGGGGGTAGCACTGGAATCTAAGACCCTGCGTGTGGAGGTGGGTAGGAGAGGAGAGAAAAGAAAAGAAGAGACAGGACACTGAAATGTGGCAAATAAAGGCTGGAAAACAGAAGGCAAGGCAAGGAATGACAGGGTTATTAAAGTTTGGAAGGAATGGTGAGGCAGGAAGGGCTAGAAGTTTCTACAATGCCGTGTACAGAGAGATACAGCATGACTCAGTGACTAATTGTTCCCTGGTTCACAGGAAATCGAGGAATTCGTGCTAAACCTGCACACCTGGCCCAAAAGGCAGGTAGAGATGTCAATGGGACAAAGAATCAACAAGGAATTTAAGACGGGAGAGATAAGGTGAGAGGTTGAAGCAATCATCGCCACCCACCACTGCCTTAACACAAACATTAGGGATCATCCACAGCAGTATTTCAAAGAGAAAACACTCGACTGGACAGGAACACCAACATTTGGGGCTGTTTTTAAATTTTATTTATTTTGGCACTTGCACTATCATACAATACTGTGTGATAGTGCCTAGTACTTAAAAAGGAGTATGACCTTTGAAGATTCACCCTGCATCTCCTTTTTTTGCAATCCTACACAGAAGGTCTGTCCAAATAAATGTTTAACTAGGTTAAATAAATACCTCGCAGCTGCATTTTTACAACATGCTAGGCTTGACATCTTGGTCATGCTTTTTTTAGGTTTCTGTCAGTCTATTTTGGTGGTTTATTGTGTTTTCCAGTCCAGTTGGTAATTTATGGTTCAACATGGCAAGTAAATTCAGAAAATGGGTTAATTTAGGAAACTGGTTAAGTGTGTTGGGTGAAAACAGCTAGAATATGCCAGCAGCCAGCCAACCCACCCACCTGGCCCAAACAGCTGAACTCAGAGGTGGAGAAAGGGAGTCGGTTGCTCATTTCTGTCTATGGGTGCTCACATATACTCCCTGCATTTGGAAAGGGCTGCACAAAGTTCTGATCCAGCTGAATCAAGAAGAGAGAGCCAACCAAGAGAGGACTTGCAGTGGATAAATGCACACCTAAGTGTGAATCAGGCAGGTGTGGCCCCGGAGGGATTTGTCACAGTGGACAAACACAGAACAGTCAGTGTTGAGGATTCTTGGGCCACAATTAGCCAGGGTCCCTCCATTCAACAACAGGCGACTTCTGATTATCTTCACAGAATCATAACACTGGAATGCACCTTGGAGTTCACCTAGCCACTTCCTATGCTTCACTGCCAGATGGACGTTTGACCCCTGCTTCAATACTTCCAAGCAGAAGAATGTTCATCATCTCCCTCAGACAGTCTTGTTTTCTCTGCTGACTAGCTCATGCTGTTAGAAGGTTTCTCCCAACAGCATGTCAAGATCTCTGATTCCCATCCACTCACCCCCTTCAAGCAGCAGATAAATCTGCTCTATCATTTGAAACTCTCAGGATAAAATGGACCATTATCATACGTCCTTTTCAATCTTTTCTCCAAATTAAACATACTCAACCATTTCAGCAGCAAATCTGCACAGGTTCTGTATGCGGTTCTTTAAAAGATGGTGTCCAAAATTGAGCATGTGCTCCAGAGGCAGCCTGTCCAGTTCAGAATAACAGTGCAAATTAAGGCTGTACAGGCTGTGAAAATGATGAGGCCCTTCAGTCCTTGCACATATCCACAGCACCTCCTGGCTATGCCTTACTATATCCTGATTCTTGTTTAGAATTCCATGCAATCCAGAAAAAAAAGTCGCTGTTTAAGAGTCATAAATCATCAGATTCCTTAAAATCAGTGGCATCTTCTTTTCCAGGCTCATACAGATGTGTGAGAAAAGTCAGGCTGCTTTAATGAACAGCCAAGAGGTAGCTGTCCTTTTGTGAGGTCCAAAGCACTTGTTCTGAATTGTTTCTAAAGCATGCGGAGCCTTCATGCATTCTATTCTACTCAGCCTGCAAACCTGAGAATGAAAAGACTGAGTATTGTCGGGCCAAGGGATGATAGCAACCCCACCTCCAACATACCCAAGAGCCTGTCTTCATTAGTTTTTACAGCAGGAGCCTGACAGCCTAATTTTGCCCGGTCCCCATGACTCTGCCCTTGTCTCATCCCCCAAAAATGATTTTAATAGTTTTATTTTACTTCTTTTGAATTGCCAAATATCCTGTCCTTCACTCTTAAGCCACTAGTTTGTGAAATCCATCCCTCCATCCCTTTTCAGATAATTGCATTTATATGATCAAACTTAACTTGACGGTCAGTGGATAAATTCCTATATCTAGGTGATACTGATATTCTCTAGGGCAGTGTTTCTCAGCCTTGGCTATTTTAAGATGGGTGGACTTCAGCTCCCAGAATTCCCCACCCAGCATGCTGTCTGGGAAATTCTGGGAGTTGAAGTCCACCCATCTTAAAATGGCCAAGGTTGAGAAACACTGCTCTAGTGGGAGGGTGGGATAGACCTGGTATTGGCTATTTATCAACCAATCAGTGCCCCCAAAATATTAAATGGCCAACCAATATGGACACCAGTTTGTCTTAGCTTCAATGCAGGATAGTGGTGAGTTATTGGACGATGCAGCGTTATGAGGCTGGGTGTTCAGCAAGCCTGGGTTCAGCTACAGTTGACTTCTACGTGTCTTGGCCCTTTTCTCAAACTTGCCATAAACCAGCAAGATCTGAAGGTAATCTCTACTCAGCATTCTTGGCAATTCCTAACAGAGGACTCAGAACTGTAGGAATACAAGATGATCAGGACAACATTCACTCGCCAGCAGCATTACCTGGCATATAAACATGGCTCCCTGGGTTGGTATTGAAAAGGCTGTCTGTGTCTGCAGGAACTGGAAGGATCCACACATGGGCTCTGAGGTTCCTTTTTTATCTTAGCTGGAGGGCTGTGAAGGGCCACTGGGGGGAAAAAGGAGAGTAAGGACATCAGGATATTCCGTCAGACTGAGTTTGCACCAGCCAAGCATAACAAGGGAGCAAGGACTTCCTTCCCTCCCCTCCCAACCCCCAAGAAGAAATTGAGAACTAGATGTTCCCTCTGATTTGAAAAGGGGGGAAGCAAGAGGTGCTGGAATCTGCATTGGAATTGTATTTGCAGAGCCTAGCTACAAAGGAGTCTGAGATGGGACTTTGTACAAGAGGGCATTCTTAGCATGCAACAGTCCCAGATGTAAACCTCTTGAACAAGCATCCATAAACAGATTATGAAAATGGCCTAAGATACTGGTTCCAGTACCAAGCAGGCAGTCGTATGTTAAAGTGGTCCAATATGACATGAAATAAGGCAGTTTCCTATATTTCACCCAGCTCTATCTCTCTATGCTTCAACAACTATCTAGATCAGATCATCCCCAGTTCCATCGGAGAAATTCCTTGGAATGTTGTTGCTGTTCATTATATTTAGATTTACAACCCGACCTTTCAAAAGGAGCTGTACACAGCAGTCTATCCTCCAATTAGGGTGTGTCTGTCATTTACTTCCTATCAAGGACCTTTCAGTCACGGCAGGACCACAACCATACAATAGAAACCACACTCCTTTTTAGTGCATCAAGCACAAATTAAAAGGGGGGGGGGGTTGATTGTGTGGTCATGACCATCATCTTGATTTTTTTACTCCCTCCTCACAGATCCCCCTGCCTCAAATGTATCTACATCTCCTCAAAATTAAAACAACTTTTAGTTTAAAAGAAAATGGCAGAATCGGCCCAGGTCTTGGATTGAGGCAGCTGAAATCACATAAGATTTGGGTGATTTCGTGTGGGTGTGCTTGGCCCTTCACACAAGGTTATGTGATGGGATCAAAAGGACTGCAAAGGTGACCAAGTGCTGCCATAATGTGGTTAGTTGGTATTGGACCATTATTTGTTCAGTAAATGACAAATGATAGCTAAAAATTCTGCTTGGCCTCATGAGTTCATGAAATTCTTGTTCTCATTGAATCAGAATTTAGTTGGTCAGGCCTAACTGTAATCACGTATTCCCAAATCTGGATCCAACCTAATCTGCACATATAAGAAATCCTTCTAAATAAAACTGGGATTACGACATTACTAGTAGCAACAGTACTACAGACAAAACAACTGAAGAGAATGGTAAACTAAGTCTAAGTACAGAATGCAGGCCTGGGGCCACCGAGGACTTGCAGTAAATATATGCTAGGCTAGAGATGTGGGGGAGAGCCGGTTTGGTGTAGTGGTTAAGGCATCGGGCTAGAAACCGGAAGACTGTGAGATCTAGTCCCGCTTTAGGCTGGAAGAAGGCAATGGCAAACCACTTCTAAAATCTTGCCAAGAAAACTGCAGAGACTAGTCCAGACAGTTGCCAGGAATCAACACTGACTCTAAAGAGAGAGAGGTGGGGATGAATTAACAGAGTACAGGGGTATCTAAAGGGGAAAATAACACTGAACCTATTCAGCTATTTTCCACTAAATATTAATAACAAATAAAAATAGGAGTCTAGTAGTTACACCCCATCTTTTCTGGTCTTGGGAATGAACATTCTCCAGAGAGAGCAGATGAACTGAATATTGTTCATAATATAACCTTAAATCTCCAAAAGGACTAGAAACATTCATTTAGATTTACAATTGCGAAGGAAGGGCCAGCCTGGAATATCTTGCAATGCAATCTTTATCATGTCTAGGCAGAAATAAGCCCCTGTGGGAAATGCACTCAGATGAGTAAAAGACTGCCTCCACCACCACCACCACCACCACCACCACCACCACCACTGTCCCTCATCCTTTTTTAAACAATTAAAATGACTATAGTATTGAGTTTGCAAGCAAATAGCGTTCAGATTATTAAAACAATCTTGCAAAGAGAAATTGGTGGTGGTGAATGGCCTCTACCTAAGGTTTGCTAACTCACAAAGGGCAGAGTGGAGAAAGGACACTTACTTTGTATTTCACTCCCACTGAAAACAATAGAAGAAAAATAAATCATGCCAGTTCCTGAGCCAGTATAGCTTTTGCCCCACGTTGTGGACATGTAGAGAAACTCCAGTGCCCAGGATCCATGCTGTGCTCCAAAAACCCTCCAAGACATTCCCTTCCTGGATCCATTGATGGGACAACAAGAACAGCAGAAATTAGAGGCTGTCTAGCCATGGAGAGGGAAGCCCACAACCTCCAGGGTGGCCCCTCATCCACCCTCTCAAAGGCGAAGAGAAGTCTTAGGGGCCCTCCCTGTGTTCAACAGCTGAACTCCAAACATGAACACGTTTTCACAGAAAGGTGGAGGAGAAAAGCCTGTCTCTCAAAAGCCACAGTTTCCTGTGTTTAAATATCTGACAGCCGACAGAACCTTCAACTATCACAAATTGTTTCCAAAGAACAAAATTTTAAAATAAAATTTAAAAAAAGAACAGGAACAAATCAAGAGTAGGAATATCAAAATGAGCTGTGTTCAACAGGCAGATCAAGTAGAAGATATGTCATTGGGAGAAGCCCAAAACTTTGGACAGGTTGGTTTTTCCAGTCCCATCTAACACCCAGAGGAGTGAACCCAAGTCTGGCTGTTTCAGCACGAAGAATCAGGTGGCTGACATTTCAGACATTGGCATCATGTTTTGGTACTTTTCATCTTCTTCCCCATCAAAGCCCGACCTTCCCTCCTCTCCATCTCCCCAGTTGTAGGACTCACCGTTCTCTGAATGGAAGTCAGGCACAAATTGCTCGTCACTGTCCGGAACCTGTGCTGCGAAGTGTAATGGAGGAAGATAAATAACATTTGGCATCCTACTCAAGGCTTTATTTAAAACACACACATGCACAGAAAGAGAAAGAAAGAAAGAAAGAAAGAAAGAAAGAAAGAAAGAAAGAAAGAAAGAAAGAAAGAAAGAAAGAAAGAAAGAAAGAAAGAAAACCTGACTTTGTATGAGATGGGAACAAATCACTGCCAAGAAACAGGAGGGAGTTTCTCTTTTGGGACTGCAACCTTGTCTACGTAATCTCTCCCCCAGTAGAGTTGCCATTAGCAAATGAGCAGACCTGACTCTTTATTTCAAGACTGTTTTCCTCCTTTCATCGTGCAATACTGGCCACTTAACACTTAAGATCTAGTCAAAATAGGCACATCTACTGCACACCGCACATAGCATGATGTATAAAACCAACCAATTTGGTTTAGCATGAAGCATAAAACCAGAATATTTATCATCATTATAACTCTCTTCTGAATTCTTTTTCAGACCTTCTATTTTTAAAATAAAACAATTATCTGCACAGAATGCACTGAAACAACAATGTGTTGATTGCACATACATTTGTTAGAAAATGCATCAAGAAAAATTATAAAGCAATCTGATGTATTTACATTTTTTTAGAAGAAAATTCTACTGAACATACTCAGACTTATTTCCAAAAAAATATGCCAGATTGGCAATGATGGCAAATATAAGTAGCTCAGAGTAGAATGGCTGGGTTCCTGATGTTCTCATCACTTACGTTATCTTGCCTGGTAGTGAAATGTTTGCAAGAAAAAAAGCTAGTGGAGAGAACACCAAGAACTCAATAAATATTCTAGAATTGCACTGCTTATTAAATCAATCAAACTGTGCACAGACATAAAAACCAATCATCTTGAAGCAAAAAAATGTATTTTATTTCTTTACTAGCATTTTTCCTCTGCGTGAAAGAAAAACACAATTGCCTTTTCTTATTAGGGTATTTGTTTGGTCTTTTGGACTAAGATCAAAGGCTGCTATAGACCTGCATTAACAGTACTAACCACCTCCTCCATTTAAGTCAGCCTAGCTGCAATTTTAATCCCAGAGCATTTTTTTGTGTAAATTTGATAAGTTAGCAAGGCCTCACACACTTGTGGCACTCTTCCACTGGACATCAGTCCCCTTCCTGTAGACCTAGAAAGAAACTCACAGAGACTGCGTCTTAAATATTTTTTTTCTTAATGGGTTTATTTTTTAAAGGTGTTATATACGGTTGCATGCAAAAAATGCATACAGCCTTGGTCAGTTTGCATGTTCCAATAAATCCGTAAGTAAACAGAAGCTGACACAACCTCTATAAAGTTAAGCAATGCGTCTTTTGCAAATCTGAATGCTTGCTCACTATTTACATGCAGTTGTTCTGCAGACTGAGAATAAGAAGAGTCAATACAGGCAGGTGCCAAAGTTTAGACACCCTTCCAGTCATTACATGCTGTATTTATTTTGGCAGAAATAATCTTTTCCAAACATTTTTAGCAACCAACTAAAACTCTTTCTATTCTTGATTCTGATCATCTTTCCCACACTTCATTGCAGAATTCTTTTAGCTCAGAAATCTTAGGTCTCCTTGCATGAACTGCATGTTTGAGATCTCCCCACAGATTCAATAATATTAAGTCTGGGGACTCTGAAGGTCATTCCAAAACCATTCTTTCTTTCCTGTATTTAATGGTTGATTTGGAGATATATTTCAGATCACTGTGTTGCTCAAAGACACTTTTTTTTTAGTGTGTTTCTTCGTTGATTGTGAAACATTAGCTTCTATGATATGTGGACATTTAGTTGAATCCATTCTTCTTTCCATCTGAACAAGATTCCTGTGCCATTGGCTGCCAAACAATCTCAAAGTATAACAGATCCACTCCCACGTATAACAATTGGCAACGTGTTCTTTACTTTAAATGCTTCACTCTTTTTTCTCTCAGTGTATCTTACAAGGTTGTAGCCAAACAATTCAATTTCTGTTATGTCAGTCTAAAGCACTTTGTTCCAAAATATTTCAGGATCATGAAGGGTTTGTTTTGCATATTTTGGCATATTTGTGTTATTAGCTATAGAAAAAAATTATGGCTTTATTTTTTAAAATATTTTTTGTGTTCATATATTCCAGCATTTATATATTGGAAATCATGTTGGGACTGCCACAGACAGCCTACAAATATCTTAAATAAATATATACATAAGTGGAACATATAGCTCTTATAAACTAATAATCATATCAGTTTGATCTTTGTGTAAAATAGACAATATAATAAGGCACACAACAGAGCTAAATTTTCCAGTCTCATAAAACAGAAATGTCATGAAAAGGAATGACCTGAAATCTTCCTTGGACAAGTGAAAAGGAGATATGTGTGTGTGTGTGTGTGCGCACGCATGTGTATACATATACACACACCAAAAAGTCGTGGGAGGCGAAGGCACAAGAGGGGATAGG